CGCGGAGCGCTCCTTGTCCTCAGTGTCGAAATCGCCATTTCTAAAGCGTTTAAACCAATCTTCACAAGTAGTTTTCGATTGTGCATGTTCGCCGTAGGCTTTCTCAAGCAAACGGCGTGCTTCAGCTGCATTTTCTTTCAAGTTGAAGCAGAAAAGCAAAGCTTCCCGCAAATGCTGTTTATTTGGCACAAAACTCGACATCTTTATTGTTAGAAAAAATATTTTTGCGTTGCAATATGTGTTGGTATTATGACTGGTTATTGTTGACAGATGTCCAAGTTAATAAAAAAACACAACTTTAGACATGTATATCGACTACATGTATCGTTAGCGCCATTCATGTGTGAAACCCGGAAACTTAGTTGCGCACCTAGTAATTCTTTCAATTTATTCAAGCATTGACTTACTGTTGCTATCGCGTTCGCATTTCTGGCATAGAATCTTCGTCCAAAATTAGATTAAAAAATAATATTAGTGAAAAATTGAAAAATTAGCACATTTGTGGTTTTGATATAAAAGGGAAGATATCACATCTATGTCAAATTACCTTTTTTTCCGAACGGAGATTTTGTTAGTGTAGTCAGTTTTTTGTTAATTTCTGGCTGATTTTTTTTATTTATTTTATCTTCAATTTTAGAAACAATTTTTGCTTTTCCAATATCCTTTTCGATATCATCAATGATTAATTTTTCCGATTCTACTTTTTCTGTCTTTATTCTATCTTTAAGTAGCGCTTTATCACGTCTAATTACATTAATCACTTTTTTGAGCGATTGATGTAAAAGTGAATCTCTCGTTTTTCCTTCTATCAATTGTGTTTCTTTTGAAATATCTTGCGTCTCCTCTTTATCCTGCGACTTTTCTTGTGTTTTTTCCTCTGATTGATCATTTTTACTTGACGCTAAATCTTGCGTTCCGAGATTCCTCAATATCTTACCTGTTTGCTGAGAATAATTTTTTATTTGTCGATTGGACGACGATTGCATTCTTATCATTCTTTGTTGATCCGAAAGATTCTTCAATATTTCTTTCACATTGCGATTTGGGCGATTATAAAATTCCGCGCGTGGTAACGTAGAATAAATATTTTTTGATAATGGTTCAGGATTCCTTGTTGATTCCACAGTAGTTGGTACTTCCGGTTGATCATTCAAAACAGTTTCTTTCATTTCTTTTTCTTGCTTTACATCTTTGACAAACTTTTGTCCCGTAAAATTATTATGAGCGACATTGTCATACTTATTATCTGGTTGTACTACTCCTTTGGCATATCGAACATTCTCCTCTCGGTTATTTAACTTCGAACTACTTGTATTTTCCTCCACAAGTTTATCTTTCGCATCGTTTAAGAACACTCTTTTAACATTGTCTTGGTTAGTAAAGTTCGAGTAAGGAATCTTCTTACAAATTGTTTCCTCGGGGGCTTCTTTCGAGTCTGGAGGCGCCGCCTTGCAAACTGTTACTTCTTCCGCAGGTTCTTTCGGTTCGCCAAACATCGTCCTGCGAACTGCGATATCTCTTAGAGGCTCCTTAGCAGCCAACTCCTCGCGAACTCTCGTTACTTTCGGTTCTTTCGAATTTCCAAACGTTGTTGCGCATACAGTTGCGCTTCTGGGACATTCCGTGGAATCTTCGAACGTGTATTTATACGTTTGCGTTTCCTCGAAACGTTTTCCAACGGTGGTATCAGGCGATGTTTTGCATACAGTTGTGTTTTCGTTCAATTTGCAAGACGACATTCGAGAAGTATATATTTTTTCCGGACATTTGGCGTCGTCGCAAACATTTTCGGGAAGTTTTTTCTCGACGTTCATGCAGTGATCTTCTACAACGCTTTTGCACGCTTGCGTCTTCTTTAAATGTTTTTCACTGGCGAAACCGAACAACGTCCCGCATGCAGTTGCACTTTCGACTAATTTCTTGGAAGCTGTTTGATAAACAAATGCTTTTCCCGAACACTTTGCGTCATCGCGCACATTTTTGGGAAGTCTCTTCTCGATGTTCGTGCAGCGATCTTCTTCTTCCTCCGTGATGCAACTGCATGTGGACCACTGCCGAGCCACGTACTTTCTTTGACAACTTTCGGGAGGTTGCTGCGACAGCTTATATCCTATCTGTCTCTTCCAGATATTGTTACGATTTAGTACCGAGGCCTGCGGTTTTCCATTTCGATATTTGCAACTATCTGCGAAACATTCTTTGGGAACTTTAGCATACGTCACGCAATCTGTGTAAATCGATTTCGGTAACCACCTGCTACCATCGATCGCATCGCACTGGGCATATTCGCTGTCATTTCCGTATACGTCACTCCGATTGTTATTTTTGCGATAATTCCTTCGCTCTACATTGGTGCAAAGCGCGTTTGACAAGGAGACGTCGCTATCATTCAACCTGGCTCTTGTTTCCGAAGGATAAATGGTGGTCCAAGACTGCGGGCGCCTAGAATTGTTATATACGTTGAAACTGGAGCACTGAACTACGGAATCCGATGATTCCTGCCGAAGATCCGTGCTGAAGTTTCCATCCTCGCAACAGCGGCTGTCTCCAATCGAGATAGCGTCCTTGCAAACTGCGTCGTCGTCGTCGGCTTTGACGCCCATCTGTTCCTTGCTGGATTCGCTCGGCTCATTTCTACAAATCCTGCGCAATGTTCTATCGTTGCGAATGATGTTGTTTTCACTGCTATTGTTGTTCCTCTTTTCGTGGATAAAATTAGGTGATTGCTGCAATTTTTTCCGCTTTTCTCGTATGCTGTTTATTAGCTTGCATGACGATGCGCTGCTGGCACTGGCGCATCTTGAGTTTGATCGTTCGGTGATTGCATCAGAGCTTGTGTTCGTATAGGACTGAGGCTTTTTTGTTTTATTTATAAATATTAAATTAGAATTAATTATAAGACAAATATTAATAATTATTTTATACATAGAGAAATCTCACAACTCGTGATATTAATTTAAACATGACAAATTTTCAGTGAATTTTAGAACCAATTTTATTTCTTACCTGAAATAGACATTAATACTTTCTAAATTATAAATGATTGAAAGAGAGAAGAGATTTTTGCAAACTAAGCTTGAAGAAGTTAAAAAATGAAGAGGTCAAATAAAAATCCTAGATTCTTAAGTCAATTTTAAATAGATTTTAATTAAATAAAATTTTAATTAAAAATATAATTGCAAAAAATATGATATGGAAGATTGAAAATTATCTATAAATTAACGATTTTTTTCAATTTTCTTGCTAAAAAGTTGATTCTAAAAATTTGTCACAGATTTTATTAAATTCAAAGTTAATAATAAAAAAACTTTAAAGATAATGTGTGAGATATCTTGCATATAATTTATGATATATAAAAAGATAATTATAATATATTTGATTATTGTGTGTCTATATATGATAAGACAATTTAGTATAATTTTTTATTAATACTTATTGCTTCTGATTTATTTATTATTTGTGTTAATTTATTAATAAATATTTTTAAAATTTTATAATAATAATGATGAATATAGTAAAAATATTTTTAGAGTATTACAATATTTCATTCTTTTTTTCGTTACTTTTGATAAAAGAAAATAATTTAATTTACCTGACCATTTTTATTAGCCTCTGAACAAATATAAATATTGACGTTTCCGGTCATTCTGCGATTGTCAGCGGTCACTGGTTTATACACTGGTTTATTCGTTGGTTCCGAATGCTTTTTACTCTGTTTTTTATTATTAACTTTGTTTTTCACAGGTAATAACAACGCGTTCTCGGGATATGGATTTAAATTGTCATACACAGATAAAGCATTAAATTGTTGTGAAGCATGGTATGCTCTTTGTCGATTTGTGTAAGCATTGAGCATTTTTTTGCGATGGGCGATTTCATCCGCTACGCGGGATCGATACACACGAGACTTTCTTTCAGGTTTCTTCGAACATGGCACAATCATCTTTTTCTCCTCCTATTTCAAAGGAGTTTGTTTATTAATTTTTTTCTCGCTCATTAATTAATTTTTTTAGCGCAAGCAATAAGTTACAAAAATTTTAATTTATTTGTTTTTGCTTGGATTTATATTGCGTAAAAAATATGAAACAGTTACGGTATGACAAATTCTAAAATTGCATTGTGGATACTTGCATCCTAGGTACCATTGAACACTGTTTCACGATGGTTTGCACGGCGTCTTTAATAGAATTGTTGATCTCTTTGATAGAATTATTTATCTCTTTGTTGATCATCTCGCTCAGCTTTGCTGGACTGATTTCTTTGTCGCATGGGAGCAATTCCTTTTGCGCTGATATATTCGCACAAGTTTCTTTTTTGATCTTTCCCTTTTCGCATGTTTCCGAGGTGCACGCGGTATTCGCCTCCGGCGTTCTCTTGTCATTCTTATCCTTCTTTCTTCCCAATTCTTGTACCTTTATGATACCTTCTCTCTTTTCTTCAACCACACCAAGAATTGATGCTTTCAAAGCTTCTTTCCTTTCTTCTCCCAGTCTCGCTACTGGTTTCAATTGATCGGTGAAGACCGATGCATCGATCGTCAATGAGAGGGGAAAGTTTGTGGTCTTCACGTCGTGAGAGGCACAAGCAACATTTGTATTGTGCAAAAGTGTCCCTTGTGCGGGAGGTATCGTACATATATCTTGACTTAAGATCTTTAAATCTTCTGTCGTTTGAGGATCTACTGCTTTTTCATTCGTTTCGATTTTTGTCGTTAATCGTGTTTGACTTGACAAACTGCGTAACCCCATTATCATTTCTCATGATGCATATTTTCTTCGGCTTAACTGCTATTTAAATATATAACGTACAATTATTTCTACTCTATTATTTTTTTTTCCAATTTTGAAAAATACTAGACACTTTCACAGAACCGCGATCATTCATACTTGGAAATTTGACCTACGTGATTAAGTGTCACTATCGCGTACTGACATTGAATAACAGTATCTTACAACGAGAGAGAAAAAAAAATGGAATATCGAAACAAGCTATTTTCCTCCTTTTTATAGCATATCGGGCACCGCTTACCGCACTATTCAATCTTCGATATGGATTTTTCATTAAACCCCGGAATCTCACAATTTAATTATTTCATGAAAAATATTCAACATGGTCAGCACAAAAGATAGGAAAAATTGGAAATAGTATTCCCATTTGATTTCTGGAAATAAAACATTTTTTTTAATTATTAAAAGTCCTTAATTTGGCGTTATTAAAAAAACGCAATTTAAAAAAAAGATGTATTGTATCAATTCATAAGGGTTTCGATTTTTTTTGTTATTTTCTAATTTAACGGTATTTACAGAAAATAAATTGACCGATACGTTATTTACGTAGTTCGTTGATCGCATTTTTTACAATAATCTTTCATAATTTACGAGTGTTTGCAATGTATGTAAAAACCGTACGATTGTCCACTTTCTTTAAGGGCTGCATGAGTAGATCAATTTGTATGTTCAGTAACCTTGACGCATACCAATTGATTGAGCCAGAATTAATTAATCAATTGTTTGTCTGTAGTTTGAAATTTGATAAGAAATCTGTTGTTTGCTTCTGACTCGGATAGTCGTAGCAGTTGTTTTCAGCAGATACATCAGCAAGCTGCACATCGCTCGGTTATACACTTGAAATATTACTCTTGTGCATTACGAATGCGAGAAACAAATTCTTTAATAAAATATAAAATCTTTTACAAAGGCATATTTGTGCACGAGATCCGTATTTATTTATATTTATTTTATAATGCACTTTGCAAGAAGCATTTGACTATGTTATAAATTATTATCTGTTATTAAACCTTTTTTCATATTTCACAGAATGCTTTATTTTTATAATAAAGCTCTTTTATTAAATTTAGATTCTGTAAAACTTATTGATATTTGAAATAAAATTGCAAATTGATTTAATTGACCTTAATTGTTATAAAATATTTCTAAACAATAATAAAGTTTATAAAATTTCTTTATTAATACACTATAATACATTTATGTAATATCATTATTCTCCGTTTCATCAGCTGAAGTCGAAATATAAGATTGATGATGTTTGCAAGGATGTCCATAAATCGATGATGTTTCGCTAAGGGATTCGCTTTGAAATCTTCCTTTTGTTTTGTAGGTTGCATTGCGCTCTCTTTCCTGTTTATTATACGTAGGCTGAATACAAAAATTAATTAAACTATTATAATTACATTTTATTAGAGCACAAAATATTTATATGGCAAACAGTTGAAAAGTAAATTAATTTCAAACCTCTCTATGTTGCCAATATAAAGTAATTTGAACATTCTATAGTTAATAACGATAATACGCGCATATATAATCTGCTTTAACTTTCCTAATCCTAAACTTTCCTAATTTCTCGCGAATAACGCTTACGACTAAAGTTTGATTTACCTTAAACGTGTTGACAACTTTGTCAAATGCTGTAACTTCTCTACGATTTTCGTTTTTCGGAGGAAACAATTGTCTCAGGTCTTTGTGCTTGTCTGCGCGCTGCGATAATGATATTAGAGACTTTTCAGTCCCAATCACCTTGTTCCGAAATTCGCATACCACATCTTTAAAAGCTTGCGTTTCTTGATATGGAAGGGTATTCCCCTCAGTTAGCTTCGTGGAAACCTTGAAATATATCATATCAAGAATGAAAGATACGATATATCTCTTTAACCTTTCATTTATATTCTCACGGTGTGGGTGGCCACATGTACAATCACATTAAGATTATTTAATCTCTCCAATGATAAAAAATAACAAATTTAATATTTATAATTAAAAGAATGAAATAATACATTTTTTATTTAATTATTAAGTAAGAAGAGCGCAGTTGACAATGGTTAATTAATTTTTAACATTCTTAGAACTTTTCAGACTACTTTTTTTGCATATTTTTAAAGAATACAAAAACAGACAAGTTTTTTAAGTGTACGAATTTTAAATTAAATTCCTATATTAAAAATTAATTAATCTCTCTCATCGGCAATTGCATTTGTAGCTTTTATTAATCTATAATTCTGAATGATTGAATATCAGAAAAGTTTTTATTTGTTCGGATAATACGGCTATGCTATTTATATTAAATATAAAATGCAAATAATAAAATATTAGAATTTATTTTATTTTTAAATCAATTGGAAATATAAAAAGCAATGTTTTTACCGAAGTCTGTCCGCTGATAGATTCATGATCATCGCATAGAATAGAAGCACCACAGGATGCCCGATTTCTCGATTTGGCACTTAATAGAGAATTCTTCGTTCGAAAAGCGTTCAAAGCCATCCATCTTCTAGCTTCTCGTTCCTGTATTAATCTCATTCTATCATGCTCCTTCAGTTCTTCTATTAACCCCGGCGTTTGATAAGCAGGTAGATACTTTTTCAGCATAGGTATTTCTAGTCTTGTTTCACGCACATTAACATCGTATTTCTTTTTTCTTATTTGCTGTAGCTCTTTTCCTAAACTATAATAGTTACGAAAAAGTTTATAATTTTTATTTCAAAATTCGTAACATTTGTATTAATATCTTTGTACTCCATTGTTATTTATTTACATTAAATTATTCTGTTTAATTTAATATTATTACTAATAATATTTCATTGAATCTTTTTTCAGTACCTTATTTTTGTAGGATAAGATTGAACATCTGCATCATGTAAAACTTCAGTCATATAAGTATTCTTAATTTCTCCGTCACATCTGTAAGGATCGCGCGTGATGCGCTCGTCACATGGATTCAGATATTTCCGTTGATCCCAGTAATTAGAACTGCAGCAGTGAATAATTTGTTCAGGTGCTTTAAAACGCTGAACATTGCAAGACCAGACTTCTGGCTCGTTTGTAAACTTCAAAGCGCAAGCACCGTCTTGTCTTCGTTGAATAACTTCTCTGTCGCGAAGATTGCACTGAGTTTGACGGTTTTCATTTAATCCAGTGATTGATCTAAATGCGGGAGCAAATCTTCTTCTTCGAACATCATCAATCCGATTTGTATAAGAACCTTCTTCTTGTCGCGCACTGTGGAAACAGTAATGTAAAAAAGAATTATACATATAAAATGTTTTACAAACATTACCAAGAATATTCCTGAGTTTGTACATCGTGATCACGAGTCCTTTGCTGTTCTTTCTTTCTGCGATATTGCTTTTCTTTGATTAACGTTGCCTTATTACAAAGTTTTCTTTGCGGTGGACTAGTATCGGACTCACTGTGATAGTTAATTATAAGATACTTTAGAAAGTCATTAAATTATAATATAGTTATGTGTTAACAAATTAAATAGTTTTTATTAAAAACATTGTTTTTTCTACTCTACAATCAGCTTTACAACATTTAGATCCAAAACTGAAAAATCTATGCAACTTCTAAAAATTAACTTTAAATATTATTTCTTTATCTTATACCTTTTCTGATAACGGTTACATTTATTGATCCACTTTTCCCATCCTCTCTCTTCTTTTCTTTTTCTTTCTCTCTCCAAATTAGTTGCTTCAGAAATTCTGGCACTGGTATGAGGTGTCCTATCACTTTTCTTGTGCATTTTAAACTTTCGAATATTTGTCTGAATACTTTTCTCAGGTATTTCTTTAGATTTTCTAATTTTGCGCGCTCTGATGTGCCTATCTTTCTGCAGCATTTCAATGCCCTTTTTAAATTCTATGGATTCCGCCACCTTTCCATCGTCGATACGTGTTTCCGCTATTTCCGGTTGCTTCGTTAATTTTTCCTCGGTGGATTTTTCACGCCTTCTCGCTTGGTACGTGACGCCGTGCAACTCCAAACTAGCTAACGGGTCGTATAATTCAGTTTTATCACTTGCTCTTAAAGTCGATGTTGCCGCGTTTTCTTTCGCTTCCAATTTTTTAGATTGTTCTTTATTAATAGAGTATTTCTTCATATTCTTTTCCTCAGTGACATTTAACTTCAGAATTCCTTCATTGTTTTTTGTTAATGATTTCCTTCGATCATCTCCGATTGCAATTTTTTCTAAGGTTTTTTGTCGATCTGCTTCAATATCCGTCAATGTTTTTTTCGCAGAGACGATTTCCCCCGTCTCTTTTTCTGGAAATCAGGCAAGTACTCTATTTGATTGAATATTTTGCTCTTCCTCTCATGTAAAATATATAACAGCAGACTACTACCTTGATCGGATCTTCTCCAATTGACAGTTTAGCAATCCTCTGTCTATTTCCGACATTTCCTCCGGTTCAAATATTTTGTCACTCTGTTCGGTGATGACATTTCTATCCGATTGGCAAATTTGGCTATCTTCTTTAACAACACAAGAGATTTGCGATGTACAAGAGCAGGAAATCTAGATAAATCCATTTTTTTATTAAAAATATGTTATATATTTTAATTTTTTAAAATAAATTTTATAATTGTAAGCAATTAATAATTAGGGAATTAAAACTGTTATAGAAATAAATAAAAAACTAAAAAAAATGTACATGATTGTCACTAGCAATGTTCCACTTGTCCGTCCTTTGACTGACGACAGATGTTTTGGTATCTAATAAAATATGGATGCGATCTTTCGAACACTTCCACTTTGGTTGCGAATCTTTGATCTCGTCCTCTTCGAAGTACGACGTATTCTTTGCAATCGGCTGCAAATATCTATAACATGACTTGCATGTTGTAACATAAATGTAACACGACTAGATTTGTGTATGACGACTTTATCTCTATATGATGTAACTGTTTTTAAAAAAACAAAGTATTTAAAAAATTTTTAAATTAAAATTTATAATAGAAAAGAATAATATTATTCAAACAATTTTTGTGCTTTTATATACTTTTAATGATTAATTTTATATCGATTACAAGATAAGTATAATTATAAATATTGCACACAAAATTAGTATTTTATGAAAAGAAATTTAAAATATCTTATTAAAGAGATACTTAATGAAAATAACCTAATATGTACTTTTATTTACAGTAATAATTTTTTAACCATAAAAAATTTTTCTTGTAAGATTTATGACAAATGTCAAACACTACAACATTTTATCTTTTATCACGAAACGCGTTTTTTAAAAGTTTGCTACGATTTTTTTCGAACTACGTGTATTAAAACTAAACCTGTATTTTTTACGCTAATGCTACTGTCGATGGTAAACGTTATTTTTCACAAAATGTAAGGTTGAGTTTAGATCACTCGAACAAAAATTGTAACAAAAGTTAAAAAACGTGTTGTAATAAGTAAAATGTTGTAATTTTTGATACTTGTTATAAATTTTACAAAAAAATTTTTTTATCGAGCCGCTGCTATGTAGAAAGTGTTTTTTTCGAGCTTAGAAGTATAAAGATAAAAATTTTTAGAGCACAAGTGTAAAAGTACAAGTTTTAAGCTTTAAAATGCTTTTTTAATTTTTTGTTTGCGATAATTTTTTGCTGAATTTCAATGATTTAAAAATAGCTTAATTTTGTGCGTTTGAAAAAATGTTCTTTATTTTTTGTGCAATAATGTATTAATTAGTAAAAATTTTTGCATTAAATCAACTGTATATACCTTGGTAATTTTTTCATTGCAAATTTCTTCTCGTGAGGATATTTCAGTTTTGCCTCAGCTCTGGCACGAGAATCTGGTTGACGGCAAATCGTCCTGCGTCGTGCACGATGCGAGTCATAATTCCTGCTATAAACATTAGCCTCGGAATCGTCATGATCTGGCGAGATTCGTAAACAATCTACTTGCCGATCTAGATGTGTCTTCAATAGTGCGCTTTGTTCATTTTTTTCGTCAGAAGAGGACGAAGAAGCAGAAGAAGAGTCTTCACGTTTCGCATCCTTTTTCATCGTACGGATTCGTCGATATGTACGAATAGGCGAGGCAAATTGATTTCCAGGAAGCATTCGAACTATTCTGTCTATGAGAGACGGTTTTCTCGTTCTCCATTCACCGTCGCTATTGGCCTTCTAAAAGAAAACGAAAATTCAATGTAAACGATCGGCGCGGAAATAATTACCTAAAAATAAAGTAGATACGTCAGGCGAGTGAAGTAGCGGAAAGTTATTTCGCTGCGTACCGTTGCCTTTCCGAGCCAAGGAATTTTCATGAGTGCTGCAAGGATTCTTCTTACGTGGCTCCGTTTCTTTTCTATGGCGGCGCCGTCCTTCAACAGTAATTCCTTGGAGCCGTCGTCCACCTCGATGTGAATTACCTCTTCCTCATCTAACTCCTCCGTCGGCCAGGACTCGGTGTCCGCTATGGACGTGGACGAGCTAGTATCGTCTTTGCGCGGGGAAGAATGGGATTTTCTTTTCAATCTGGTACGAAGTCTCCTACGAGCTCTCACGACGAAGCAAGACGTCGGATCCTCGCTGCTCGAGGTAATCTCCCTTGCCAATGAGTCGTTAAAAATCTGAATCAGATATTTCCTACTTTTGCAGTGATCGATATTGATTATTGAGGTCGGCTTGCTTTTTCTTTATTAGCGTAATTAAAATCTGAGCCTCTCCAAGCCTCTTAATTAAAGCGCCTCAAAGAAGATTTATTTTCTGTTTTTATTTAATGATAGATGTTATGTATAGAACATCTCTGAATTAGTTAACTGAAGTATATGCAATTATACTTTTTTATTAATTTGAAAAGAATTTGTTATCTGCTTTCTTAAAGTCAATATTGCAGAAAGTTTTTTATTCTTGAAAGTAAATCAAGATTTTTTTGATAAACAAAGGCAATATCTCACTTGAATCGTAACGTCTTCTCTTATTTTCTGCGCTTCGACATCTTTAAAGGGTGCTTTACAATGCTTGATTTCTCTCGTAATGATTTCCCGTGATGATTCATCCTGATAAGCTGCCACATGAATCAATTATTATTTTTGTCGCTAAGCTTAGGCGATTTGCGAAATAAATTACAAATTTAAGATATGCATTTGTAATGTAGAACAAAAGAAATTGTTGATGCACGTACTGTAACTATAAATCGAGTCGGAACTACTTTTATCAATATCATCATCCGTCTGCACAGCTTCATCTTTTTTTTTCACATCTATTCTTTCGACCTCTTCCTCTACCTTTTCCTCGAGTATTTTTTCCTCTTGCATTTTTCTTTCCTCTAACTCTTCCTCTGGCGTTCTTTCTTCCGGCATTTTTTCTTCCAATATTATTACTTCTGGTATTATTTCTTCCGCTATTTTTTCTACCTTTATTTCGTCTTCGGGTTCCTCTTTTACAACCGGTTTTTCTTTTCTAATTGTAGGTTCTAATTTTTCCATTGTAATTAATTGATCGTCCGACGAATCTCTAATTTAATTAAAAATAATTCATTTTTTTAATTGTAATAAAACAAATCATTTTTTAAGAATATTTCAATAAAAAGAAATTATATTATTTTTTAATATTTCAAAATAAAAATAAGAATAGTTTTAAATCTATATATTGTATAGATATTAGAATAATTTAAAAATGACTAATATCTTAATGCTTGTACAACCTTTATTCTCGTGTCTCGTAATATAATTTACAATCAAAACTTACCTTTCCTCACTCATATCGGACAAATCACCATATTCGATGGGCGATCGGCAAATCGTGCAGAGATTCTGCAAGTCTTCGAAGCATCGAATACAGAACAAACCGACACAACCAGGCGTGGCGCATTTAATGTGCGGTTCCTGATCAGGGCGTTCCGGAGCACCGCACAGAAGACACATGTTCTGCTTGCGAGGGAACAACTTGTTCAGAAACGGGCAGATCGCCAGGCATCGTTCTCTGAACGTGACTTTCTCGATCCTCTCGCCTTCAGTCATACCGAACTTGCGGCGCAACTGGCGCCGTGCGAATTTCAGAAAACTTCCTCTTGATCTGTACGAGTTCACCGAGTGGGTCACCGTTGACTAAACTCGATTTGTATGTACGTTGCGCAAGGTAAACGCGACCAAAGTAAGTGACAAGTTGCGCAATTAAGCAACCGTGGCAGAAGTCTCGGATTTATTTAAATGTGTTTATTTTCAAGCGTTTTTAAGAAAACTTTCTATATTTTTCACGCGCGGAAAAATTTCACCGGAATTTAATGCTTAATTAAGTATTAAAATGTATATTTAATGTAATTAACAAATTTTTTGAACTTTTCGATGATACTTTATGCAGGAAGCAGCATAAAATCCATCTCAGATAGAAAGTGCATATCTGATGCTAGTGCGTCAGTTAGTTCATTACTTAATTGAGAAGGCCCATTACCTAATTATGTGATTATACAGCCAAGCAGCTCTCTGCCTGGCTCTTTCCGGATGATATTTGCACATCACAACGTGTCGCAGTCGCAATCCGTAAGGCTCGAATATCGCCATAATCCAGCAGAAGACGATCAGTGTCGCGATCTGCGTGTACCTATCCAGATCCGGCGGTATAGGATCCGGCAGGCAGGGCATCAGATCGATCTCCGTATCCTTCGCGTGCGGCGTGAAGGCTTTCACGATGCTCCGGTACAGGTCGGCGAGATAGCCGTTGCCAGACACATAGACGCCCACGGAATTGGGTCGTTGGACCTAGAGAGATCGATATATACATGTTTCAGCAATATTACCTCTTTCATCGTGATTATTCCACGCGGTATATATCCGGCCGCTGACCGCCAATATTCCCACACACCGCGCGAATAACACAATCATGTTCTAAGCTAACGGAACATCCACTGCGATATCTCAATCTTTCAGATACACCTCAACTGTAATTCAATTCTTCAGATAAATTTGCAAATTTAGTTTTTACCATTGTCAAAAAAATTCTATCATTTACCATTGATCATAAAAAGTATGTAAGTAATTATTTAAAAACTTGACGTCTACGGGCAGCGTTCTAAGAATCGTAAGTAAAAATTTCGAGGCGCAAATTATTTTTCTTCATTATGTCGAGATACCTTCATTTCGATGCGTCCGTGATGTCTAATAGTGCTAAGGATCCAATAAAGACTATAATCCGCCACCATATGAATGCAGATCTTGAACGTTGTTAAACCCAGAAAGACGACGGATTTGGCGAGCTTCACTTTTTCAATCTTTATCAGCGTGACAGACGTTAGTGGGATGTATTGATTTCTTTCGCGTGGGTTTAACGGCAGAATGGTCTCCTTATCTTGACGTGTTCTTATGAGATCGATAGTGCGCAGATCGTCGGTCAGATATTGATTGTCGAAACGTTCGCTCGTTAGCCATTTGTGTCGATAATGCATGACTCTGGAAAATTCGATTCACCAAATGCTAGGCAGTACGTTATTAAAGTGGCAGTCTTAAATTTCACCTTAGCAGCATGAAGAAAATGAAGAAAGTGGTCATAAAGCTCATCCAATCGAAAACGGCTAAAAACTTATCGGTCCTCGAGCGCACCTCCGTAATAATGCTAGTCGATACATCTTCAAGGGTTTTAGTTTGGTTTGCCTCAAAGTGAAAAGAATGCGAGAATTTCACTTTAACGTAGAACATCGCTTTTATATGGCGAGTGAACCTTTTGATTTCTACATAAATGAGAAATATTGCACTTTACTTCCAAACAGGGAGTTTAACGAGATTACATTGATAAATTTAGTGACGTAATTTTATGATGTAAAATTTATGAGAAAATACTTAAAAAATTTTTCAAAGTTATAAATTTTGAAAATTTTGAAATTTGCAAAATTTCTTAAGATCTACGATATTGTAAATTTTTAAACGAGAACGGTACAGAGCTCAGCTTCGACGTACTCTTTCGTACAGCGTCGACTATAGTGTCAGCGGCGTAAGACACGAGCATGCAGATAAAGTCTAAGGGCTTCACTATGTAACACAAGGCGCCGACGATGTACGCCAAATTGCAAATCCCTCCGAAAAGAGGACCAAGCTTTGCCTTACAGTCAGCCACCGCGCCGTCGAAGACTCTCTGACATCTATCAAACGGTGTGCCCAGCTTTTTGTTGCACATATTTACAATACTGCCGAGCCATTGAAAAACTGATGTGATCACTCTCACTGAAAGATACGTCTTTAAAGTATCAAGTTCTGAAGAATCGATTATTCATGAAATCGAAGAACACGTTGACTCACGTATACTAAGAACGAGTCGTTTGATTGCCACGAGGGTCCGTCTAATCTTCTTCACAACTACTTTCACCGTCTTTATCACTTTCGATATCGCGTCTTTCAGAGCGTAGAACGGTTGTTTTATTAAATCAACCACGCTCTTCACGGCTTGCTTTAACTGCTCCTGCCGATGTATTTATGTGTGCGATTTACAATAATAACGACAGCTCGAAATAGCAGCAAATTGAAAGATAATATAATTAATTTCACGAATTAGAGAATTTACAACATGGATAAGTTACAGAGTCAATAACTCAAACATTCAAGCATTATCGATCGAACAAGCAGTGTAACAATGTATAGAATCAAGAACGTACGGATTCAAGGACATATCAATCTGCAAACATGTAGACATAAATGGAGTACTTACCTGTAAGAGCTTACCTGTCCACAGACTAAAGATTCCGAGAGAACACCGATGTTGTGCAAAATATTCTTTGTCGGTCCGGCGAGAGTTAAAATAAAGGCATAGGCCATCAAGGCCTGTCTGCCACGTTTAGAAAGAATTGCGGCAACAATAAAAATACGGCACACCTGCGTAAGTGTTCGTAAACATTTTTTAACAAAGAATGTGAAATTGATACGATAAAAACTTGAGATATGATTTTCATTTTTCCAGAATAGATTTCTCAAGATTTTTAATGCGCAACAATCTACTTAATTTGCATGAATGTCAGAATTTACGCAAAATTACCTTACGTGATAAGAAAACGCCAGCCCAAGCGCAAGAATTACTCCGAGTACCGAGCACAACATCGTGGCGGATGAGAGAGCAAAATTC